TTAAATAAAATGGTTTTTTTATTTTATTTTAGTTTTTACTGATTATAAATATTTACTGATAATAAATTTATAATAGGTAATATTTTTATATGCTTATTAAATATAGTAAATAAACGTGTGTGGAAACGAAAAAATTAATAAACTTGTTCCTTTTATATTACTGTTGCGTTTATATTTTATAATGCTTGAGTTAAAATTTGTGAAATGTTATGTCTTTAACAATAAAGAAGATTCAAATAAGTATTAGTGACAATGCGTTCTTTAAACTTATTTTAATTTTGTTATATGTATTTTATATCAACTTTTTGGATTTATTTCTATTTTTAAGATTATACAATACTATTTAATGATAAGAAATACTTACGCAGTAAAACTTTTTAAGATCATGTTTACTAAATGAAAAAACCCAATTTTCCCCGGGTTTTTTCGTATAAAACCCATGTGGATTGGGTTTTTTTTAAAAAATCCGGGTTTTTTCAAACCCTGCAATAATCTTACCAAACCCAGCTCATTAGACGCACATCAACTTGCAAGTATTTCATCAAGCATGTAAAATGATTAGCGCTTTCATACGCTATGGACCAACTGTGCGTCAAAATGAATTGTGAAAACGTTGAATGGAACAATGTGAAAAGCACGCTTTTGCATAATATGTGGCAAAAATCGACATGGTAACGAAAAAATCTCATTTTCGAAAAGGGAAAACTAAGCACTTTTTAAAAACATCCCATGAAAAAAGCACCTTTAAGAGCTTTTAAATAATGAAAATCGAAAATAAGCACCTTTAAGCACTTTTTAAAAACACTACGCACCATGTTATAGTATGTGAAATTCCGATCCCTGTGCCAGAATTTTTTGGAGCTATCTGCGACAAAACTCTCTAGCACTAATATCTTCCTGCAAGATACTTTTAATAATAACAGATGTATACGTTACTAATTTAAAATAACAAAAGCGCTGTGTTCACAAAAAAAAACTATATACTTTTTCTTAATTGAACATGTAATAATTTTTTATTCTAATATTAAAGGTAAAATTCTCGGATTTTGTTGGGGGAGAAAACACACTAATTATTTCCCTTTCGTATTTTGTAAATAACCATCAAAATAAAAAAGAATATTTAAAAGTCACGAAATCTGTAGTAGTAATCGCCGATAAAAAGATCAACCACAAAATCACGTGAATCTAGCTTTTCAAATGCATGTTTCATTTGGAGATTAGGTTATTGTAATAAATAATATCGTGAAAATATCGGATTTAAAAACTAAGGAGAAATCAATCGCAATAACTGGCAAAAATTTGATACAATTATTGCCTGAAAAATAAATACTCAAATGCACGATTCTAACCTACCATATTGTTCGAAATATATCGGTATACTTAAAAACCATGTTAAAATCAATATCTGCCGAAAATACAATCAAAACCGTTACATTGATTGTTGTAAATTGAGCACATCAAAAAGAGATTATCTAAATGCATGATTCAAATTTTACGGGTAAATTTCTGTAGGAAAGAAAATATTTTACTTTTCAAAAGAAAAATCTTTCTACACGAACTCTGTAACATGTCGCTGCTATTCTGCCATGGGAATTCCGATCATTAGTTATTCAGGGTATTTACTAATTTATTTTGCTAACTGTACATTGTTTCTTTTGCTTATATCTCACATATTAGAAGTGTTTGCACTCACTTGGTAAAAGCTTCTCGAATAGAGAATAATGTCTTAAACTTGCGTCTACATCTCTTTTTATGTTTGTCTTAACCATTGTTATCCATTGGGACAAGGGATGATCACTGCATCTGTGTAAGAAGAGATTTTTAAACATTTGGGTAAAGAAAAATTTAATTGTGTTAAACTAATATTTTTTAATTTATTAGATACTATTACAGTTGTGAGAATTTGAACAAGATATTGTACTATGTATTACATATAAAAAAATGTCACATGATTTTAAAACCAATATGAATATTCAATTTAGTTGTTTTCATTCTATTGTCATGAACCTGATAATAAAATAATTGAGTTCATTTTGTCAGTGCCATCATAAAAAATACATAATATTGTACAATGTGTATTAAGACACGATACGTATTGTACAAATTTAAGGATTTCATATATATTAATGTCAAATGATTTAGTACAAGGTCACAGATTTTAACTATAGTAAAAAAATAAATTAAGGTTAATAGTTGAAATTAAATAAATTTAATTCCAATAAAGAATAATACAAAAGAATATACAAGGTCATTGCCACTTACATGGTAGTAAAATGAAATTCATTAAATTAAGTATTATGATAAAAACCTACATAAGCATTGCAAGATATCCATCTAATTCCAAAAAAAAATACATAATGAATCTGTTTGCATAAAATGTTTGCACAGTTTTAAAACTAGCATTAAATAAATAAAAATGAATTAATGGGTCATTAAATTGCTATTAAAAACGTATTAGATTTGATACATGAGAGCATTTATTTAAGATACAACATAGTAAGCACAGAGTTATTGTGATAGAAAAAAGTATTTATTTTTTAAAGAAAAAAAAACTGTTTGCATTATTTGAACTTTTAACAGTCCGATCAAAAGAGAACTAAGATATTTTTCGGCAGTAGGCTGCCATCTAAATGAAATCCTGGAATGTTAGCACAGGATGCCTGGGTAAATCTTTTAACAAAAAGTAAGCACCTTTTAAGCACTCAAAAAATATTTTTAAGCACTATATGCATTAACAAAATGCAAAATAATTTTCAAAGAGTTTACATGATCATGATAAAATAACTAGTTTCTGACAAAAAACTCTTTTTCTTGATTACATTAGCCACCAAAGAAAGATAAGAGAGATTTTTCGGTTCGATTTGAGAGGGAAGAAAATGAATCCAGAAATTGAGAATCTCTAGCAAAATGCAGCCGAGTTGCACATGATACTGCAAGTATAATTCCCACTGAATCTAGCTGAGTATATGCACATGCGGACCCGCAAGTGTTTCACCAAACACGTTAAATGATTGCCGCTTTCATACGCCGCGGAACTACGGTATGCTGAAATGCATTGTGTTTGAATTATTTGTGAAAATTTTGAATAGAACAATGTGAAAACCACCCTTTTGCATAATACGTGGCGAAAATCAACATAGTAAAGTAAAAATTTTCATTTTCAAAAAGAGAAAATTAAGCAATTTTTAAAAACTATATAAAAAAAAGCACCTTTAAGCACTTTTTAAAAACGTTACGCACCCTGTAGTATAGTACATATTTGTGAAAAATACTATGAAATAATTTTATTTAAGAATTTTATCTATGAAAAAAGTCTAACCAAGGAACATTTCCGATTAACCAAAAACGTCTAATTTAGGAAAGTTTTTTTGCAAAAAGCACCAATATTTTCATGTGATCAATAAGATGCTTCTGCCTGTTGTGCTGGTATCTAATGGAAATTCACAAAACTTTTTGAAAAATTTAACTAGAGAAAAAATAATAAAGAACATTTTGGTAATAGTTTGTAACTGGGGGCATCTTTTGTATTTGAAAGTATACCAATATACATGAAAACAAATAAAGAACTAATTACATAACAGTAAACAAAAACTCAAAAATAAAAATAAAGACCAGAAAAAATATCATAATAAATAGAAAGACGTTTCAGCAAAACTAAACAAAATTTATCGCCAAATTAAGGGATCACCGATTCTAAACCTTAACCAAACAGTTTAATTCATACATGTTACATTCCTGCCAACATTGAAGGAATAAATAACTGAGATTTTACTAGCGACGTTTTTTAGACCACGAGTAGAGTTTTAATATATAATGCATAATCATGCAAGTCAAAAAGAGAAATTCAAAATCTGAAATAATATAAGCACTTACATTTAGCGAAGTAAAAAATATGTATATAAATCTTAATCTAATGAAAATTTCTTNTCAAAGAATTTACATGATCATGATAAAATAGCTAGTTTCTGACAAAGAACTCTTTTTCTTGATTACATTAGCCACCAAAAAAAAGATAAGAGAGATTTTTTGGTTCGATTTGAGAGGGAGGAAAATTAATCCAGAAATTGAGAATCTCTTGCAAAATGCAGCCGAGTTGCACATGATACTGCAAGAATAATTCCCACTGACTCTAGCTCAGTATATGCATATGCGGACCCGCAAGTGTTTCACCAAACATGCTAAATGATTGACGCTTTCATATGCCACAGAACTACGGTATGCTGAAATGCAATGTGTTTGAATGATTTGTGAAAATGTTGAATAGAACAATGTGAAAACCACCCTTTTGGATAATACGTGGCGAAAATCAACATGGTAAAGTAAAAATTTTCATTTTCGAAAAGGGAAAATTAAGCATTTTTTAAAAACTATATAAAAAAAGCACCTTTAAGCACTTTTCAAAAACGTTACACAACCTGTAGTACAGTACATATTTGTGAAAAATACTAAGAAATAATTTTACTTAAGAATTTCATCTATGAATAAAGGCTAACCAAGGAACATTTCCGATGAACCAAAAACGTCTAATTTAGGAAAGTTTTTTTTGCGAAAAGCACCAATATTTTCATGCGATCGATAAGATGCTTCTGCCTGTTGTGCTGGTATCTAGTGGAAATTCACAAAACTTTTTAAAGAATTTAACTAGAGAAAAAATAATAAAGAACATTTTGGTAATAGTTTGTAACTGGGGGCACCTTTTGTATTTGAAAGTAAACCAATATACATGAAAATAAATAAAGAACTAATTACATAACAGTAAACAAAAACTCGAAAATAAAAATAAAGACCAGAAAAAATATCATAATAAATAGAAAGACGTTTCAGCAAAACTAAACAAAATTTATCGCCAAATTAAGGGATCACCGATTCTAAACCTTAACCAAACAGTTTAATTCATACATGTTACATTCCTGCCAACATTGAAGGAATAAATAACTGAGATTTTACTAGCGACGTTTTTTAGACCACGAGTAGAGTTTTAATATATAATGCATAATCATGCAAGTCAAAAAGAGAAATTCAAAATCTGAAATAATATAAGCACTTACATTTAGCGAAGTAAAAAATATGTATATAAATCTTAATCTAATGAAGATTTCTTAAAATGATTATTTATAATTACTTAAACTATTATAATTTATAACCGCCTTAGTATAGCAGACTCAATTTTGGGCTTACGGCTACTAATGTTCAACTCTTCTTTGTAATTTTGAACCCAATCCATGGAGAAATTTGAGAATATAAGAGTAAACTCTATACAGTCGTAAAATACAGGAGTGTTCATTAAAAAACAGGAGACCTGGCAGGCATGCATGATACCTTTGAAAAAAAATGTGGCTTATCATTATTTTGTTTCAGTTATAATATAACAATCTGAGGAGAGAGATAAAAATAATTAATTACCTCATTGTTGTTTCGAATATTTTTTTCACAGCATCCACGTCAGAAATTTCCCAATAATTTAATTTCCAGGTGCAAGGCCATGTCTTCATCATACAACAAATGACATTTTATTAAATAAGATAAGATAGAACAGGGTGCATAGCCAAATCTTTCACAAAAAAATAAGCACCTTTAAAGTACTTTTTAAGCATTAAAAATATATTTCTAAGCACTATATACATTAACAAAATCCAAAATAATTTTCTAAGACTTTACATGATCATGATAAAATGACTAGTTTCTGACAAAGAACTATATCTCTTGATTATATTAGCTGCCATAAAAAGATCGTGAGATTTTTTGGTTCGATATAAGAGGGTGGAAAATTAAGCCTGAAATTGAAAATATCTTGCAAAATGCAGCAGAGTTGCACATGAGAGTGCTAAAATCTCACCGAACTCAGCTCAGTTGACGGACATGCGAACTCGCAAGTATTTCATCAAACATGCAAAATTATTGGCGCTATCATATGTTACGGATCGACGGTAAGCCGAAATGGATTGTGGTTGAATTAATTGTAAAAACGTTGAATAAAACAATGTGAAAAGCACGCTTTTGGTGAAAATCGACAAAATAAAGAGAAAAAAACTAATTTTCGAAAAGGGAAAATTAAGCACTTTTTAAATTATCTAGATATATATACACATAACGTTCCCACTATTAGCTAGATATTTATTTAGTGGTCAAAAAATATATTATGGTTGACAAATGTAAGAAAGTTCAGCCTATAACAGTACATAAATTATTTGTAGATGCATATCAAAATTGTACAGTGTGCAAAAAATAAACAGACCACCCTGTACATTTTTGACCCAGTGATCGGAGTTTCAAATTATAGGACTCAATCTTAATGATTTGAAGGGACATATATGCAAATTAATTAGTGCAAACGATCTTTTAAGTTACGGAATCAGACATGAAAACGTATTTTGTCCGAATAAACATGTCTTTTTGTTGACGGATTCAGATTTTTGATCCTCAAAATATAGGGAGTAGCCACAATCTAGAAAATAAGATCCCAATTGTTTGGTCAGGAGAGCAGACCACAGCTTGAACCCCTTAATATAAATTTCACCTTTTGCATTATTTCGCCATATCTCGAGAACTTTTTAAGCAAATCAAAACGTTTTTGCACACAGTTATAAAATTTGTTTATCCAAAGATAATTCCATAATATAACTTTTAGTAAATATTTATTATTTCATTTAATGACAGTCAAAAACATTTTGAATTTTAAAGTGCATAATTTTTTTAAATCATTTTAAAGAAAGTAATTTTACAAGGTAAATTGAGCAAAATTGATCTAATAGTTCCTGAGAAACCGAATTTTAAAAATAAGTCTTCTTTAAAATTTGATTTCTCAGGAACTATTCGTTTGATTTTGCTACTCATATTAATAATGCATTAATTACAATACAAATAATTTGCCTATTTTCTGAAAGTATTTTTAGAAATTTAAAGTTTTTTTCTCCATCTGTTTCTGAATTATAACTAGATAAGTTTATGACTTAATATATAATTACACTTACTTCAGTTTTTGTATATTCTATAACGGATACAAAGAGGTCTCGTTTTTCTCTTTCACTTTCACTCAGAAGTTGCTGATTTCCAAAAAACTTTCTTAAAAAAAATTAGAAAAAAATTTAAAATGCACGCTATTTGTAACCTATAGTAGAATGCCATAGTTTAAAAATAGCCACTTTAATAGCTATAAAAAATTAAATATATTTAAGTTATCAGAATAAATAAAACAGCGTGTAAATAAGCAACATTTTCATGCTTAATTTTAATTCCATAAAAAAAGTAACAAAATAAAATACTATTTGAACTAGTTGATTCAAATTAGAATTTAAATCAATAGATTGACTTATTGTATTTTTTTTATTGTTATTTATTTAGACAGATTAAATAAAATGAATAACAATATTTTTTTTAAATTTAAATTACCAACATCCATTTTAAAAGAATCAACTGATTCGAGTCAATGTACATAGAGATTTGAATGAGTGATTAAAAAACTAACTGAGTCTAGTCAGAAAATGATTCACATTACGTACAGATTTGAATCATTACTGATTTAAATTTCCTAGACGATCCGTTTTATCAAATTTTAGTTAAATCTTACTTTAAATCTGATGTACAAAGAGCAAAAGAACGGACCACCCTGAATAACTTTTGATCTAATGATTGGACCTTTTAAATATTTATTACACATATTAAATTTTTCAAGCATAAATGTATATTTAATTTTTAGTTGTTCCCAAAACAATAACTTTACCAATTTTAATCAACACCAATGTTTTGCCAATTTGGCCAGCAGAAAAATTATCTTCTCTATTATTAAACAAACACTGGAAGATGTACTCGGAGACAGGCAATAAGACCCAGAACCTACGCTCCCTACTTCTTGGGTGTCTCAAGCAGTTCATTGGCTTTTAACTTCATGTTTTACTTTATTCCATTTTTAATGTTTTCTTTTTAATGATTTTATGTTATTAATTATTTGTCATTCATCTTTTCTACTGGGGCTTGATTTTACGCTTTCATGGGGGGGTTTTATCACTCTCAACTGTTTACAATTTTTATATTGGTTTTACCTGCTTTTTTCCATTACGATGATATTTAACTTTTCTGTAATTTTAACTTTTTTGTGTTTGACTTTATTACATTATGATTTTATTGTGTTTGATTTTATTACTATGGTCTTTTGACTGTCTGTTTGCCCCTTTGGGTACTTCTGTAACTTTTCTTTCTTTTTATTCTACATTTCCTGCAGATCAATAATCTGTGTTATTTATTGTTTTTATCTACCATGTTATATAATGTGTGGAAGTGGAGTGGTAGATATAAGGGTCCTTGGACCTCCTACCCTATAATCAGCTAATACTATAAGGGTCCTTTGACCTATTTTATATAATTTGTTTGTTTGGCCGCATTTTGTATCATTGTCCCTTGTGGCAATCTTTGATTGAAGTTGTAATCATGTATCAATCCAGTTGTATGATCCTGATGTAATCTTGACGTAAACCCTAAACAAATAGGGTGGGTCATGTCACTATTCAAATATAATCATAGCATATTAATGATACAAATCATAACAACAATAAAGCTAGTGCAATTAGTTTTGAATTAAATTTTGGATTAAGCCACTCAATAATACTTTGTGTAGCTTAATCCAAATGAAAACAAAAATTAGTTTAAACAAAACAAAAATTAGTTGAATTAAAATTTGATAATTACTTCATTTCTTGTTCCGCAACGCTTGCTCGCTCTTTTTGTAATTGTTTTACAGCCAATGGAAATGAGTCAAGGAACAAAATTAAATAGTTCTTAGCAAACTACAGCTACAATAAAATTAACACAGATTCTGCATACTAACAGAACTTAATAGTAATTCATAATAACTTTAAAAGCATAAAAAAGTAATAACACATTATTCGTGGAGTTATTGCTAAACCTCGGAAGCCGTTAAGGCGCAGCATAGCATAGCCTAGCCTAGCTAATCTTAATATTAATTACGATATTGCCTTAAAATGCAGAATACAGAATTTTCTGAAATTTACCTACACAATGTGATTTTCAAATCATTAAAGTTCAAAAGCTTGTTTATCTAATTCCATAAACTAATTCGTTGATTATTTGTATTTATATTCATTCTTTATTTAAGATTGCTAATTTTAATCATAATTTTAATTTGATTTAAGATTGCTAATTTTAATCATTTGACGATTACAGCCTGATAGGAAATAATTGTTTTCACAAGACATTATGACACTTTTACTTGCTATTATTGCTTCTTGAAAACTAAATTTTCAAAATCTCAAATTATGCTATTATATAATCACTGGCTAAAAAAATATAATTAGACAATTATAATATTTATTTTCAACCAATATTGGCTATCGATATGGGCTACACGCGGCATAGAGCAGAACTCTCTACCTATGGTAACATTTCGCAAGCTTTCACCATTAGCGTGTGGAGAGTCATAGAAGAAGGAAGTATGTTAGTTTCTGTCTTGATTTTCCAACAGATTAAAATCTTTTAAGTTAGGAAACTATATGGAACTGAAAACTACATTAAACATACTTCTAAAAGAAAGNCCTCAGCGGTAAGCGCGCTTTCGCGCTTTGCGTCGCGAAAGGGTTAAACATACTTCTAAAAGAAAGCGTTATGGAAATTTTAAAAAATATTTTTAACAAATACGAAAAATACTAAGAAAAGGAAAAATATCATAGTACATTCCTATACAACTGAAAAGAGGAGGAGAGGGAAGGGCCAAAGGCATGGAACAAGTCTTCTCCCTAGATGGCGTATTCGAGCGTAGCTATTGTCTATAAAGCAGAGACATAAAATCAAAAAAAGTTATTTTTTTAAAAGTGAATGCCCTCTACACCACACATAAGAATTATTTCTCAGCAACAATTAAACCTAAGCTAATTTATTAAGTTGAGACCTTTTAATAAAGTGAAAAACTATGTTAAATATATTAGAACTAAAGGATACTATATCAAATTTTTTCTTCGCTATGACATCATTTTCAGCTATTCGTCTCTCAAGTTCTAGTTTCTGAAATAGTCAGGATATAGTAATTCAATAAAAATGAATCTCATACAGAATTTGTGAAATTTTCATATTTAACCATGGATAACTCAAATTGCTAATAACAATGAGAAATATTTTTTTTGTGAAAAGTACATTCATCCAATTTTTTATCGATTAGATTACATTTTAAAATTTGAGAGTCAAAGATAGCTCTTTCAAAATGCCACTGAAAATTCTTCAAAACATTGCAAATATAAAATTAATGTAGTATAAAAAAAAACGTTATCAGATTTTTTCTTGTGTAATTATCTTTTGTACTTAGTTTGCCCCTGATAATTCATAAAATATTGAAAATATATTGCGAAAATTACACGAGAAAGTTTTACCGGATTTGTTTTTGTATTATTATCTTTAGGCTTTTTCCGCACTTTTCTGATAGCTCTTTAAAGCATTGCAAATATATCATGAAAATGGAATAAAAAAACTATACCAGATTTGTTCTTGCGTAATTATCTTTCGCTCTTTCAATGCGCCATTGATACTGTTTAAAGAGTGTCGTGTTTTCATTTTGGAGTTTCTCAATAGCTGGAAGTCTAAAAAAAAAGGTTTAAGAAGTGAATGAATAAGAATTTATTTCATTTGTTTTTTGATTTAAATGAACTAAATGCAAGCATACTTAAACAGATTAAGATTTTCTCTTGACTTTCTTAGTGTCACACTTCTGTCTGATTTTAGAACAGGTAGACTTGGAGCAGATGGAGACTGAACTAAAATTAAATACTCTTTTTAAGTTCACCAACAATTGTAAGCAATTAGTTTCATGTCAACAGTGTAACTGTTCATAAATACTTCATTAATTTCTTTTTCTTTTTCGAACACACAATTTTCTGAACAAAATCAAAGATACTCTATTTACCTCGCACTAGAGCTGCACAATGGGCTATTAGTGACAGTCTGGAAACATCCCCGGAGGATGATCCGAACACCTGCCATTGCAATGTTGATCCTCTGCAGAGGGAATGGCTCCCCTGCTATGGTAGCCTGACAAACTGCGAGCAAAGTCGAGCAATTTAAGGTAAAACAGTTTAACAAAGACCGAATCCGCATACCCTCAGACCCTACGCAGGCTGATCAAAGTGGTCACCCACCCGCTTACACAAAATCAAAGAATTTATTTCATGATTAACTAACAAAAAAAGGCATAAATAAAAGAAATATTTTTTTCTAATTCCCATGTGACTTTGTTGCCAGTTGCCAACTTACAATAACCATTAGCAAATAATATACAATGAAGTACAGTCAGCCCCCTCTAAAAAAAATACTATTGGTTCCAGCAAACCATATTAAAATATTATTCGATAAAAAGGGAAGAGGAATAGTCTTAAATACTTTGTTTTTATAAAATTTGACTTTTAAATGGTATGTATAGTTTGTCTATAGATAGAAATCCCCTCGCCACGAAGTCCATAATAATGTTGCTATGGAAACAAGAAATAGTCCATTGCAAAGAGGAGTGCTTTTTTCTACCCTGATTCCTTTTCTCTGGCCGCTTCAAGTCAAAACCAGTATTAAATAATGAACCAACATCCCTATTCGAAATAGTTAAACCTCGTAACCACCACACCAGATGAATGACTATGAGAGTTCTTTTCATAGACAAACTATAGTACACAGCACAATGTTTTGAAGGAATAAGGCTATTTTAATGATCAATAAAAAATGGAAAACTCTCAAGAATAAGACCACCGATACATAACCACCTGACATATGACCTGAATGTCACCTGGTTGTTTATAAAGAAGATGGCATATTTTATTCTGACCATTGCTGGCTAAGGTTGAATTACGTTTTTCCACATAAGTTACAGAATATTAACTAACATGAAGTTAATTAAATACATGCCGTATTGCACATCAAATTTGTTAAAGTACAAATCTTTCTTCAGGGTGCATAGCCAAATCTATCAACAAAAAATAAGCACCTTTTAAGTACTTTTTAAGCACTACATGCATTAACAAGAAGCAAAATAATTTTCAAACACTTCATATGATCATGATAAAATAACTAGTTTCTGACAAAGAACTCTTTTCTTGATTATATTAGCCACCATTAAGAGATAGAGAGATATTTCGGTTCGATTTCAGAGGGTGGAAAATGAAGCCTGAAATTGAGAATATCTTGCAAAATGCAGCAGAGTTGCACATGATTGGGCCAGAATCTCACCGAACGCAGATCAGTAGTCACTCCCAAGTATTTCATCAAACATGTAACATGATTGGCGCTATCATACGTTACAGACTGACGACACGCCAAAAGTGATTGTGGTTGAATAAATTGTGAAAACGTGGAATAGAACAATGCCAAATTCATGCTTTTGCATAATAGGCAGCGAGAATCGACATGGTAAAGAAAAAAAATCTCATTTTTGAAAAGAGAAAATTAAGCACTTTTTAAAAACACCCCATGAAAAAAGCACCTTTAAGGGCTTTTAAAAAACGAAAATTGAAAATAAACACTTTTCACAAATGCTATGCAACATGTTCTTGTTTTCTTTTTATATCAATAGATTAAAATTTAAGAATTACGCATTATGATAAGAACAATATCAATTTGTTTTAAAATTTAAAGACAGAGTAAAGTAAATTGTATGTAATACATAAAGTAATGTGTATATTCGCAAATTAAAATAAAAATATTTGAAATTCTGCACACTATGTACTGTTTAAATAAATTAAATTAAAATTGGTTTTTAATTCAACTAACAAATAAAAATCTGGAGTCTTGCTTGAAACTTAAAACAAGTTATAAGCCAGATTTAATTAAACTTTTAAAAGGCATGCAAAGCCAATACTCCCATTGATGTAACTATCTATCCATATTTATGTTTTTTATATGAGTACTATTCACATTTCAAGCCGTTTATTTTAAATCCAAAATCAGATATATATAAGCAAATACTAAAATATAAAATCAATAATTTTTTGTGGTTTTTTTAAAAACTATGCAATTTTGTAAATTGAAGCTTTTGCTCTTTTGTTTCAACAAGTTGCGGACACAAGCCCTTTCATAATACAATTAAACTCGCAAGAGCCGTGGTGGCTCAGAGCGCTAGCCTCCCAATGAGGTGACCCGGGCTCGATCACAGCAATAGCTGGTCAATTCAAATTCTGCATCCGGCTGGCACCAACCACAGTGCTGACGTAAAAATATCCTCAGTGGTAGGTGGATCATGGGTTAGAGTCCCTTTGCCGTCAGGCTAACCGTGGAAGGTTTTCGTTGTTTCCCTCTCCATGTAACGCAATTGCGGGTTAGTTCCATCAAAAAGTATCCCAATATTTGATCCAGGAGTTTCCTTGTTCTCTGGATTGGGTTTAAAATTACAAGGCTACGGAGTCGAACACTAGTAGTCATAAACCCAAACATTGGGTCGGCTGTTCAACAGCAGTTACAAATAAAATTAAATTAAATTCACAACTACATCTACTTTCCATGTACTATGCGCAGATGCGCGTTTGTGGTATTTACCTGTTTTATCTGAAATGGCAGTTAATCTATCTGAACACTCATGAATCATACTTAGAACATGCTTCATTTCACGAATCTTTTCCATCATCTTTTCAAAACCTAATAAAAGGAAATATAAAAGCTTTAGCCTTTCATCACTTCAAGTACTATGTACAGTACTTATAAGAATTTCTTTCCACACTCGCTTTATAACCAGGTCGGGACACAAATATCTAGAAAAAAGAAGAAAAAAAACTTTCCTGGATTTTTCAAAATCAATTTATCGAATTTCCCTGATTTTTGAAACCAATGCCATTAATTTTATTCTTACTTTTCCATTTACGCCATCTATTTTCCTAGAATATCAAAATATTTTGATGTAAGAAAACGTATGAAAATTTTTATTGAACTATTTGCTTTGTGAGAATACTTTGCAATAGTGAATTTTATAACAAATTTAAATAGCTCAATATTGTCTGAACTATTAAAGCATATCATAAAAGATGGCTTGAACATTTGCAAAGATCCTGCCAATCCAGCTAAAGAAAATGCCTTTTGTTAAACCCTTTGAGCCATTAGATCTACAATCCAAAGCTTTGAATTTAAAAAAATATTAATCTTTAACTTAAAAGTCAATCAGAAAGATCGGAGATAATTGATAAGTTTAAATAAATATAATTTTTTTTTAAATATTTTCTAAAGGGTGCAAAGTCAAATCTTTCAACAAAAAATGAGAATCCTTTTAAGTACTTTTTAAGCACTAAAAGAATATTTTTAAGCACTATATATGTTAACAAAATGCAAAATAGTTTTCAAAGACTTCACATGATCATGATAAAATAACTAGTTTCTGACAAAGAACTCTTTTCTTGATTATATTAGCCACCATAAAAAGATTGAAAAGTTTTTCGGTTCAAAAAATGAGGGTGGAAATGAAGCCTGAAATTGAGAATATCTTGCAAAATGCAGCAGAGTTTCACATGACAGTGCAAGAATCTCACCAAACCCAGCTCAATATGCGGATCAGCAATTATTTCATTAAACATGCAAAATTAATCGCGCTTTCATACGCAATGGACCAACGGTAAGCCGAAATGCATTGTCTTTGAAGGAATTGTGAAAACGTTGAACAGAATAATGTGAAACCAACGCTTTTGCATAATACGTTTCGAAAATCTACACAGTAAAGAAAAAAAATCTCATTTTCGAAAAGGGAAAATTAAGCACTTTTTAAAAACACAATATATAAAAAAGCATCCTTAAGGGCTTTTAAAAAATCAAAATCAAAAATTAGCACCTTTAAGCACTTTTTAAAAACGCTACACACCATGTTTCTAAATTGAAGCACAAATTCAGAAAAAAATTGGAGAAAGAAATAATAAACTTACCAAGAGAGTTAAACATTTCATTCAAATATATTGCTAAAGCTTGAAGACTCTGGACGTACTTTTCAAATGCTGCCTACAATAAATAAGGCATAGTATTTAGACAGAAGTCATGTACAAAATTTTTTAAATGAAACTATTTCTCATTGGACAAAACTGCAAATTCTTTATAGTAAACAGTAGGGCTTGAAATTTAACGATGGTTTGTTGGTCCAGAATGACTGAAATTTCATTCGACATCCAGAAATAATTATAATTGTTCCCCCAGACCAGCAATTGATGCAAAGGAATTGTATGCCTATGGGGTACTTGGACTTTTAGTTCAACATTATAATCTTCATTGTCAAAAAATAACATATTTCATCAGAACTGAGAACATTACACATTTTTTGTATTGTAATTTTTCATTAAAATTCACTTTATTAACTTTTTTTTATAAAAAAAAGTGACAATAGAGGTGTTTAAACAGACCAATAAAAATATGTATAGATTAGTTTTTTTTCTTCTTTTTTTACTGAGTCACTGAACTTTAGAGCAGTAACTAAATTTTCTCAATTTCTACCTATTTTAAACATTATAAGCATTTAAAACTATTTTAATAGAACAATTTGCTCATAACGTTATCATTATATTATATTCACAATATTATAGTATTCATGATGCAATAAAACCAAGCTATCAGAAAAAGATTAAATAAATTACAATTAATTTAGAGTAGTAACTAAATTTTCTCAATTTCTACCTATGCACAGAAGTTGGTAATTGAAACATATAAATATTTAAAACTATTTTAATATAACAATTTGTTCATAATGTTATTAATATATTATAATCACAATATTATATTATTCATGATGCAAATATTAGTGATGCAATGAAACCAAGGGATTACCAGAAAAAGGTAAAACAAATTTTTTTTTCTCAATAAAATAAAAAATATGTCTCAAAAAAATTATAATACTTATTTTGCTTGAAAAAATAAGATCGACCTTGAAATTACGCGAATTGAACTCTTCAAAAGGGGTTACTAAGTGCATGTTTTCATTTCGAGATTCAGTTGTTGTAATAAATGATATCGTATTTTAACAGCTTCATGGAGATCAGTAGTAATGACTTCATGAAAAAAAAACGAAAATTTCTACAGAAAAGAAAGTCAAATTTTTTACTTCATTATTCTTTATTTTTCATTATTCTCAAATGAGAATAGAAAAATCATAAGCATTTTTTTCCAATCTGATGTGCGAGAAAAGCATCTTTTGAGTATAATTCTGAAGTTAAAAGATAAAATCTTTTGAAAATTTCTGCCCAAAAGGAAAGCAAAATTTTTTACTTCCCAAAGGAAAATTCTTTCTGCAAGAACTCGGTAACATTCTGCTACAATGTCGCCACAATTTTGCCAAGGGGGATACCATATTTTCTGAATTGCAACAACCCAAGGCTTGGTTTCAAATCAGGAGCAGGAATTTATTGCTCCAATGATGGCACCAAACTTCACTTTCCCTTAGGAAGTTATGCCGTTGTTTTTCAGGTTGAGGTTTATGATGCTATTATCTTGTGTTGCAAGATATGCCTATCTACACCCGCTCCGACAGTCAGGCTGCTCTCCTATCACTATAAAGGTGTAAATTCACCACTTTACTAGTGTGGGAGTGCTTCCCGGTCCACTGTGACTTTTCTACTCATAACAAGGTATACCTACATTGGGTACCTGGATATATGGGTATTCATGGAAATGAGCTAGCTGATGAAGCAGCACGAGCTGGCTCCAGTGCAATTTTCTGGGGCCCTGAACCAGCTTTGGGAATTTCTCCCATCTCTTTTAGGGCATCTATATTCAAGCTCTATGGCAAAATTGCCCATGAGCAATGGTGCAACATAAACGGTCAAAGGTAAGCTAAGGAGCTGAATCGTGACCATCCCAGTGTACGTCAAAAAGAGCTTCTTAAGCTAAGCGGGAACAGTTTGAGAAAGATCATTGGTCTTCTCACTGGATACTGTATCCTCAGGAAACACCTATACCTAATGGGTATTGAATCTAATCCTATTTGTAGAGGTTGTCATCTTGAAGAGGAGACTTCACAACATATACTATGCGATTGTGAGGTCTAATCTGCTCAAAAATTTCAGCATTTGGGGCAGCACAGCATTAGGACCAGGGAACTGCAAGACGTTCCTGTAAGGTGTCTGCTGAATTTTATTTCAGCCATAAGGCTTTCTTGCTAATCATGATTTAGGGTTTGGGTACAATAGACCTCTGGTCGATGTGCCCAGCTCTTTAGAGCTGCCCATCCTCTAAATCTAATCTAACAACTCATAGCATTTTGAGAGTCAAGTATCCAATACCTCAAGATGGTACATTTTTAAATCTTTTAATTTTATTGCTGAAAACATAATCAATAAAAAAATGCATTCTTTCATTTCTTAGTATCGGGTTAAACAAACAAAAGACTTACATGAGAAAACCCATTGCTGTCTAAATGTACTGCTTCAGCCACTAATCTTAATGCAAGGGATCGATTTTCCATTTTCCACACTTATTTTAAAAAAATCTGAAAGATACATTTATTCCAAATGAAATATTTATGGAAATATAGATTTAGTTTATTCTTTTACTAAAAACATAACAATATGTGAATCGTTTTAAGGACAAAAACATGTTACATCTGACTAGAAAAACAACATTAATAACCTTATTCTTTTTTTAAATTTGAAAAAGAATTGAGCTAATCACAGTATTAGTACCCAATACAAAATAATTGCAAAGTTTTAGCAGCAATTGAAAAACTATTAATATATCAGGCCCGTAGCCAGGGGGGGACCGTCGGGACAAATCCCCCCCTCAAACTTTTTAGTCTTTCTTTGAGCCTCTCAGTAAAAAGAAAAACAAGAACTGTCAACAATCAAACCTTTTATTAACTAACTTTATTAACACTGATAATACCATAACAGGGCAAATGACCCATTTTGAACTTTTGCATTGAAAATGCACGTATCATTTTATTACTTCTGCAAATTTGACTTTTTATTACTAATTAATCTACAGTTCTTATACTATTTTTTGTTTTGTTTTGTTTATGTTAAGTAGTAATACCTGTCGTATACTGTTGTCTACCACATCGGGTCATTTAACCCTGAGAACATTTTTTGTTTTATAAGCTTATCGATACAGATTGCTTATCGTATTGTAGCAGGCCTAAAAGCGGGACGGAAAAGAGAAAATACTGGTAGAAGAACTATTTCAATATTAGATAATATTCGGGAGGAGTTAATCTATTCTCAACAATAACAATTCAACGTAAGGAAATTTTTCACGGCGAAGAAGCAATTCAATATAAAAATTGCATCCGTAAAAACAATTGGTAGTTATGGATTTTTATTATTCTGGGAAAAAAACCAAAAAAATTAAATTTATTTGTTACCAGTTTTTACTGTTTTCCGTCTCAATATATATGGTCTTTCAGCCCTGTACTGTAGTCGGTAAGCTGCACATTTTTGCAAAGACTGTTGCGTAAAATATTTCAATCAAAATAGCTGAGAATAATTTCAAGAAAATATCAAAATTTTAGATGATTGACATTTCTGTGTAAGAAAAAATTACGAAAACTAATAGTTTTGGTAAGTAGCTTATATTTTATTTTGATAGCTTTACTTCATTTCTGAATAACTGTTAGTTTTTACCTAGAAAAATGCTGAACAAAGGTCGAAACAATCAAAACAGTCAAGTTCTTAGAAAAAATAATAATAATATTAATATTGAGAATGATAATTCTTATATGTTCTTATAATTATAATAATTATAGAAATAATAATAATTAGAAGAAATATGTTTGCTGAAAATGTACAATGGAAACACTCTATATATGTAAAAAATGCATTGAGCAATGAATTAAAAATTCTTATTCCTTGTGTTTGTAATACATAAAAATTGCCAACATACAATTTTGTTTAATTATAATAAAGTTTTTTAGTTTATTTACTTCCTAAGATCCATACTTCATACGTTCAATCAAGAAACATAAAGTCCGGTCATTTGACCGTCTATGGTAGAAATAGGTATACATTAAGTATTGGTATGTTTAGTGTTAAGCATATTTCGGAATATTCCAGTTTGTCCTAAAAAAGTAATCAAAAAATTTTCTTAAAATCCCCGCCGCATGTCTTTGTAAACTTTGTTTACAAATTTATTATAATTATTATGTAATATTAATTGAAANTATATATATATATATATATATATATATATAAAAGAATATACATAGATTTAGTTTATTCTTTTACTAAAAACATAACAATATGTGAATCGTTTTAAGGACAAAAACATGTTACATCTAACTAGAGAAACGACATTAAAAACCTTTTTTTTTCTTTCAATTTGATAAAGAATTGAGCTAATCACAGTATTGGTACCCAATACAAAATAATTGCAAAGGTTTGGCAGCAATTGAAAAATTACTAATATATATATAGATATAGCATAATAAATAAATACAAAAAACACGAAGAAAATTAAGAAAACAATGAGATTTATTTACTGCGCATAAGCTGCAAGTAAATAGAACTCATAAAATAAGTTCAAAATGTAGAGAAAACAAGGGAAAATTTACAGAACAATGAAGAAAGGGGAAAAAAATAAGAATAATAATAAAAATAACAAGAAACCGGAAGGAAAAAAAATCTGTAAAAAAGGGCCAAAATTTTAAAAAATCCGGAAAATAAAAGATATAATCTTATCATCTCACACGATTATATCCACAAAAAAGAGTGTTTTCTAACATTGCATCAAAATATATATATATATAAAATCAGTGGCACGACAGCCCATAGAGGGCCAAGGCCTACTGTGCCCATCTCAGTTTTCTTTACCTTGGGCTCTGGGTTGCAGGAGCAGATGTTCCGGTTAGGTATATATATAAAGTACAAGGGTTGCCACTGGTATCTGGAAAAAAATTTGCCGTGTTTTCCCTGCACATATTATTCACACTATATTAAGAGGTAACACACATTCACTATGCTCTTGTGAACCATATTAGGAGCTAGTTTTAGTAGCCTGAAAAACTTGGAAAAATAACAAACAGCTCAACAAAAAACAAATAATGAAAATAATATAATATAGCTTTAAAAATCCCATAGATTGCACTTTGAGAGTTCGGCATTTTTTAAAAGACAAAAATAAGAAGCAAAATTCCCAGTTTTTTTCTAACTTGCGTGGAAAAACTCAAAATTACTTGCATTTTCCCTGTTATTTTAGGGGATTTTTAAATTCCCTGTATTTTCCAGATTTTCCCTGTTCTTCCTGTGGAGCGGCAACCCTCAAATATATATATATATATAAGCTCAAAATGAAGATAAAACAAAGGAAAATTACAGATTAATGAAAAAAGGGGGAAAAAGAAAATTAATAATAAAAATAACAAAAACTGGGAAAAAGAAATTTAAAAAAATCCAAAAAAAAGGATCGAATTCTTTTAAAAAATCCGGAAAATAAAAGATATAATCTTTTCATCAGCCCACACGATTATATCAGCAAATATTATATCCGATTTGCGGATATAATCGTGTGGCCCCTTCCTTTGCAACACACAATACACTTAACTAGTCAGAACAAGTTTAGGTAGAGTGAGAGTAAGGGATTAGTAACACCTGTGGCCCCTGTGGGGAAGGATAAATTTGTTTTCTGATATGTACAAGCTTTATGCTTATGATTTGCTGTTAGAGATTGTGTGGAAGAAGTGCTTACCTCTAAAGCTGTCGAAGCTAAAATTAAAAACTCTCAACTTGGAAGACAAAATTAATCTTATTAAGGATGTAGATAGAAATCCAAACATGAAGAAGAAAGATATAGCGTTGAAGCAAGGAATCCCCCCGAATACCCTTTCTACGATATTAAAAGAGAAAATATCCTTAAACTATATGAATCTATGAACCCACTGTCTAAAAGAATGAAGATGTGTGTCTTTCCCCAGGTGGAATCAGCTCTTCTGAAATGGTTTCAGCAGTACAGAAATCGAGAAAATGCTATTCCCATAAGTGGTGTTTTGCTACGAGAGAAAGCGATTGATTTTGCTAAACTATTAAAAATAGACAATTTTCATGCTAGTGCTGGGTGGCTAGAAAAATTCAAGAGCAGACACAATATTGTCTTTCGCACTCTTCACATGGAGAAGCTAAAGCTGTCCCTCTTGAAGTATGTGAACAGTGGTTAAAAGAAACGTTACCAAATTTATTTCAAGGATACTCTGAAAATGTTTTCAATATTGATGAAATGGGTTTATTTTTTAAATGTCTTCGAAATAAGACTATGACGTTTAAGGATGAAAACTGCTCAGAGGGTAAAATGAGCAAGGAACATTTGACTGTCCTAGTTGGAAGAAATGCGCCTGGGACAGAGAAATTGCCCTTACTTTTTATCGGAAAATACCGAAATCCCCGATGTTTCAAGAACGTATCCTTTGAATTGCAAGTCTAACAAAAAGTTTTGGATGGCATCAGTTTTATTTGAAGACTATGTAAGAAAATTGGATCGGAAATTCTTCGCTAAAAAAAGAAAGTGATACTCTTTATGAATAATGCACAGCATATAGTGATCTACCTAATTTGAAAGCAGTAAACTTGCAGTTTCTCCCGCCAAACCAGGGTTCGTGATTTTTTTAAAAAAAAATCAAAAGAATCAGATTTTTTTGATTTAAATCGGATTTTTTTTATTTAAATCAGATTTTTTTGATTTTTATTCAAATACACTGTAAGATCTTTAATTTATGATTAAAAAAAATTATAAATGTTTAATCAAATTAACTTAATATTAAAACTATGTTGTAACAATATTTTAGAAGCTCTAACTAAAATAATTTTTCATTATAATACATGGCTTTGAATGCATAGCAACTGTTTTGAAAGAAATGCATGATTAAAATTTAAAGACTAGATTAAATAGAGAATTTAAAGAATACTTCAGGGGTCTGTCTGGGTTTTTCTGAGAGGTACCTATTTNGAAGCTAAAGCTGTCCCTCTTGAAGTATGTGAACAGTGGTTAAAAGAAACGTTACCAAATTTATTTCAAGGATACTCTGAAAATGTTTTCAATATTGATGAAATGGGTTTATTTTTTAAATGTCTTCGAAATAAGACTATGACGTTTAAGGATGAAAACTGCTCAGAGGGTAAAATGAGCAAGGAACATTTGACTGTCCTAGTTGGAAGAAATGCGCCTGGGACAGAGAAATTGCCCTTACTTGTTATTGGAAAATACCGAAATCCCCGATGTTTCAAGAATGTAAAAACATATCCTTTGGATTACAAGTCTAACAAAAAGTCTTGGATGACATTGGTCTTATTGGAAGACTATGTAAGAAAATTGGATCGAAAATTCTTCGCTAAAAAAAGAAAAGTGAAACTCTTTATGGATAAATGGACAGCGCATAGTGATCTACTTAATTTGAAAGCAGTAAACTTGCAATTTCTCCTGCCAAACACAACAGCAAAGTTGCAGCCGATGGATCAGGGTATCATAAAGTGCTTCAAACAGTCTTATCGTAAAAGGCTTGTCAGAAAAATGATGAACGATATTGAAAACAACATTTCTTTCAAAGTTGATGTACTTGATGCCATGAGGCTACTTTCCAGTGCTTGGAATAATGATGTAAGTGAAACGACAATAAGAAACTGTTTCCGGAAGTGTGGGTTTTTTAAAGAAACACAGAGTAAACCTGTGATAGAAGAGTTTCAAGATGAGGAAGTAATTGAGAACTCCGATTTCATAAAACATTGCTGTTTGTGGTGATATTTCCGACAAAGAATTTATACAGATCACAGAAGAAAATGATGACAGTGCTGCTGAGGAAGAAGGTTCAGAAACAATAGCCCCAAATATACTTGAAGCGCGTGCATCTCTTGAAGTTCTTCAAAAGTTTCTAGAGAGTCAAGAAGGAATTGATAATTCTATGTTTGTGTCTCAATTCTATGTTTGTCTATGTTGTGTGTATGTTATGTCTCAAAAGGGATTACTTCAACGTAAAAAGACGGATTACTTCAAAAAAACGTAAAATGTAGTACAAATAATAAAGTAAGTTATTATATTATACTTCTTATTATATTTTTTCTAGAATATTGTAAGCATTTAGAAGATTCGTAATTAATAAGCATTAATTAAATAATCCGGCAATATTTCGAAAGTCCAAAACCGAAACTAACGGCAAGTCGAACTTCCGATATGTCGAAGTTTTTCGTCAGTCCTATCAGATTCGAGTTATCGCGAATTCACTGTATATATATATATATATATATATATATATATACAGAAAAGAACCAACTTGAAAGCCACATCATAGCCACTCTTAAGTCACAACACTTTATTTTTAAATATTTATTTAATTATTAATTCTCTGTTACCTTGGCAATCCTAAGCTAGTAAGAGCTGGCACTGAAATGTTCTCAAACTAAACTTGTAGTTACACACTTTTCATTTAAATCAATACATATATATAGACATAGAATGCTGCATCGTAATTTTACTCTGAAATATACTTTTGAAAAGAGGCATTTCTTTAAACTTCAAAATTTTTTGTTTATATAACTTTATATCACTTTGAAAAATTTACAAAAAAATAAATAACCCAAATGATGGACTTCTATGGTTAATAATTATGACTTGGATGCAGCTAAAAATTTTATTTGAGTTTTTAAGCTGTTTTAATTTTTAAAAAAATTCTAATTGACTGCAACATCTCGCAATAATAAAATAGGTTGAATTAAGTCAACTGAATTTTGCACATATGTGATAAATAGAAGTTATATAAATGCTACTATCTTATAACAATACATGCATTTCAATATTTTTGACTGAATCAAAAGATCATGGTTGACTGAATTAAAAGGTTTTATGGTTAATTTTTTTAAATAATGGTTTTTACATATCAGTTCTAGAAAGGAGATATGCACCTCTCAATGTAAAATTTATGACAACCATTTTTGTTTTAGGGAACTTAAATATTTACTGAGCAAAAATTAAAAAAACGTCAGGATATTGTTTGGGTTACAATTGTTTAAATGACGTTTGAAACTTTTTCAACAATCTAGGATTAAGGGGAAAAAAATCAGATATATTTTTGGAAACGGAACAAACCTGGCATGTACTTTATTGATAATTAAATTATGGATTAACAAAGCAAATTTTTTTAAAATGGACTATTCTGACTAAAAAGAAAATGCATTAAAATTAAATATAAATTATTAAGCTTGTTAAAGAATGCTTAAAATCTCATATAAATTTTGAAAATCAACTTATTAAGAAAAATCAATAACGCTTTATAACATTTCCAAAAAACTTAGGACATTTCATTCCTTCAAGGAGCTCCTAATTGAAGTTTACAGTTTGTTTCATCCGTAACAACGTTTCTAAGAAGTATAATTGAACAAATTTCTAATTAAATAAATTATCAGAGTAGAAAATCACAGCATACAGTGCGAAAGAGCACGCATGTATATTGCTTTATTGTTCTGCAATTCTTAACGTTTTCGACGCAAAAATCTCCCTAAGCTCTTAATGAAATAAGTTATTAGGGGGGAAAAAATCTCTGCATATTTGCGGGAGGGGTACACATGTTTGAACTATAGAACTATGATAAGAAATAATTGAAACAATGTATAGTTAAAAGAAATACTCCATAAATTCAATAACAGCATAATGTAAAAAGAACTAATCCAGGGCATACTACTAATGAAATTTTACGACGCAATGCAAAATAAACTAAGGATATAACAACTATGTATTACGACTTATTTATTACAATTATCAAATCAAAATCCTTTTACTCCACAAAAAAAGTTATTTGTATTCCTAATTTTCCGTTTTTAATTTTATTTAACATACACACCTCTAATTTTCTCATACTTTCAATATGTACTTTCACTTTCTTCGAGTCTTTGTTGTCCTTATTTAGTGTAGGGTTTTATAACGCTTACACCTTCATACCTAGAAAATTCGATGCAGACTGTGATTGGCTTGACAGATTAAGTACAGTGCTCGTAACCGTGATTACTATACGTAAAAGCTAAAAGGTGTTTCAGCTGCTTTAAAAAGTTACGATCCGTTTTTGTTCGTAAAAGTTTCAAACAATTTATATTTTGAAATAAAGATCGAACGCAAAAGTTGAAAAGATCGGAGCAGTAATCCTTCTCCTCAAGTTTCTTAAAGCACCCTTATTTTGTGTTTTGTTTTTGCTTGTTAAGTCGGATTTCGTTAGTTAAGTAATACGTTACAAAGAATTGTAACGCAAATTGTAATGTTTATATTTTGCTGGTTGATTATCTGGAGTAATTTTTGTTAATGTATGTGATTTCAATTATTGTTTATTCTTTGGGTGATTTTTCTTAGATTTGTGTTCTTTTCTTGTTCTGTTTTGAAGTTGTCATTAGATTGTAATACCACTAAATGATGCGATTTTTGTTTCATAATGGGTTTTTATCAAGTATTCTAAACTGACTGGCTTCAAATTTGCTTATAGTAGTTTTTGAAAGGGTTGCTTATTCACTGGAGCTATGTTTTTTCCCCCTTACCCTGTATACCGAAAATCAATATGTTAATGCTTGCCAAAGATGTTTGTATATTTGATTAAATTTTTTTTCTTCTTCATATGAAGTAATTTTTTTTAATAACTTCGATATAAATTTAATCTAATAAGATTTCAGTTTCTTATGAAATTGTATATTAAGAAAAATTAGTCAAATTTGTCTTAGTTACTGTGACAGTAGCCATCTTACTACAAACAGCTCGTAAAAATTACTTTAAATTGAAGAAAATCGATTCGTTTGTTAAGAAATTGAAAATCCTTATCGAATTAAATTCCAAAGAGGAGACTTATAAATTTCTATAACTTCCAACCTTGAAGGAAAAATTAAAGTTTTTTTTTTTTTTAATGCATTAGTCTTCTAGTCACATAAAGTACAGTTTGCATGAATTATAGTTCAGCGATTTATTATGGCTGTCCGAAGCTAGGTAGTATCAATTATCAACAATGCAATGTAGCTGAAATTATTACGAAAATTTGACTATGTGTATGACTTATATTATACATGTTATATAAGGTATAACATGTATATTACTTTTTTTTAAATCAAGGAAAAGTTTTAATAATTCTGAACATCAAATTGCATTGTTCAGCCATGTGATTATTCTGTTAATTTGTGCAATTCCGCTAATCTCAAGACAATCCGTAAACTTCCCAGTATTAATAATTTATTGCTAAATTACAAAAATTGCATGATTTTCACAATTTTCTCTACAATATTTGTCAGAAACTAGTTATTTTATCATGATTAAGTAAATTTTTTGAAAATGTTTCTGAATTTTATTGATATTATGTTTATAAATTAAGAGCTTTAAACGGTAGAAAAAAATTTATTATTGCACAGATCCTAAGAATTTTTTGGAAAGTGATTAAAAATATTTTTTTAGTTCTTTTAAGGTACTTATATTTGTTGAAAAGTCTGACTGCACACGCTGGAGAAGCATTTTAAGTAATATTTAATTGAAAATTTAATTAATATTTTTTTTTTAAAAAAATTGACTTTATCTAGAAATTTAAAGAAGTATTAACAATTTTCATTATATTATTTCATTTTATTATTATATTTCATTTTATTATTATATTTCATTATATTATCGAAATTACTTTTCAATGGACAATTGCAGTCAATTTTTTTTATGTTCTTAATGAATTCAGAATGATGGAAAAGTCCTGAAAAACATCTTTTTACCTCCCAAAAAATGCTACTTTTTTAATTAAGAGCAATTAAAAATCGTGTACTTTCGTTTTCAGTTTAAAAAGGAAGTCACGTGACTTTTAAGAAAGTGACGCCATTCGAGCCTGACTCGCGTTTGTTTACACTTTTTCTCCTTGGTGATTTAACGCTTGTTTACGTGCCTAGTTGAACGTCGTTTGTTTTTTTAAAAATATATTTTAAAATCGAAGTGTATTGCTTCTAAAATNGAGAAATGCGTTCTGAAAGAGGTTCCATGGTTTGGAAGGATGTGTTCTGTTGTTCTTAAAGGTTCTGAACAATACTGGTAAATAGGGAAGCTAGATAATGGGGTAGATTTTGAAAATAATAAAAGATCCAGGAAGAAAAGTGAAACGGATTTTATTCTAAATGGCGCAAATGAGAAATTTTTTTCAAAATGCGAGGAATTCGCGAATTTTGAAATAGGTTTATAGAATGCGCGAATTTCTCGCTGTTATCATTTTTTAATGCGAGAATATAAAAAAATATGCGAGGTTCTCGCGCTGTAGTGAAAACACTGAAGTATTAACAATTTTCATTATATTATTTCATTTTATTATTATATTTCATTTTATTATTATATTTCATTTTATTATTATATTTCATTATATTATCGAAATTACTTTTCAATTGCTTGATTTCAATTTTCCAATACAAACTGTTGTATAAATAAACCAGCGACTACCAAATGGTGTTCTGGGAAAGAGTCGCAGGGATTCTGAGAGTTTAAATTTTTTAAATTAGTAATGATTTTTTAATTTTTCAATTATATTTATATCAAAACAAAAATTTATTTACTAGTTATTTTTATAAAATTTTTGAAGTAACAGAGAAATTTCAAAATTTATAAAAAATTGCATCAGTATTTCTTGTTGAACTTTTCAATTCAAAATACTGTGACCATATTCAGGAATTACAAATTATGTTTCTGTGATAACTATTATCAGCTTTTATAAGAATTCTCTTTCAAAAACTCTAATTCAGCTTAATAGTTTTAATTTTTAGCTGATGAATCCAATAAAATCAAGTTCAGAATTAGACTAGATACAACTCCAGGCTTGCAAATTCAAATGTTTGACATAAAGCTTATTATTTTGAGAATTGTATTGATAAAACAATCATTGAAAAAAATTTTGTTCTTAACGTTAAATCTTATCAAAATACTTAGTAGTTTATTTTTTTATGGTTAGTATGTTTACGGTTGCTAATAAATTTTATTTCTTGCTAATAAATTTTATTATTATTTTAAATTGATGAAATTAAAAAAAGATTTGACTGTTTAATGTTGTTATTTATATTATTATAAAAGTTAGAAAATGGTATTTTTATTGCAAAAATAAAATTTTAAATGCAATAACTACTGCAGTGTTTTCACTACAGCGCGAGAATTTCGCATGTTTTTTTCTTTTCTCGCATTAAAAAATTATTACCGCGAGAAATTCGCCCATTCTATAAATCAATTTCAAAATTCGCGAATTTCTCGCATTTTGGAAAAAGCTTCGAATTTCGCCATTTAGAGTAAAATCCGTTTCACTTTTCTTCCTGGATCTTTCATTATTGTAAGCATCTGCCCCATTATCTAGCTTCCCTATTTACCAGTATTGTTCAGAACCTTTCGAACAACAGAACACAACCACGGAACCCCTTTCAGAACACATTTCTCTGCAACCACGTGTTAGGTTTCTTCATGTAAGACATTAAAATTTTTTATGCACTTATGTAAGATAGACAAATACCTTGTAAAGGCAAAATCTTCTATGATGATGCACCAAAAATATTCAATGCTTTAAAAAATAGAAGGCGTTAAAAATGTATTATAATTAAAGAAATGATTTTTTTTCAAGAGTTTTTGTGTTTTTTTAGTTTTTAGAAATCTCACTTGACTTTTTGAAATCTCACCCTGTTTTTAAGAAAGGCTGAGAAATTCTCACCCATTTTTTTTTCTATGATGAAAACACTGTACTGTATTTATAATTTATACGTACACATAAAAAAGTGATGGATCAATGCCATCTATTAGGAAAATAGTGAATTAAGTATCCTAAAGTAGAAATGAACTCCGCTCAGGCTTCACAAAATAAAACGCTAATTTTTCTCCCACCTGAAGTCAGTTCGGGCATCACTGATAATGCACGTAGTTGTTGCCCGAGCTGGATACAGGTGGCATTTTAATGGGGTTAAAATTTAATTTCTTATTTAATCTTTAATATTGTTTTTCATTATAAAAATATCTTATGTGTTGTTTTCATTTACATTTATATAACGTTAATTTTTCTCCTGCCCAAAGTCAGTTCGGCCATCGCAAATAATGTACGTAGTTGTTGCCCGAACTGAATTCAGGCGACACTGGCGGGGGATTAAAATTTAATTTCTTTTTTAATCTTGAATATTGTTTTTCATTATAAAAATATCTTATGTGTTGTTTTCATTTACATTTATATAATGTTAATTTTTCTCCTGCCCAAAGTCAGTTCGGCCATCGCAAATAATGTACGTAGTTGTTGCCCGAACTGGATTCAGGCAACACTGGCAAGGGGTTAAAATTTAATTTCTTATTTAATCTTAAATATTGTTTTTCATTATAAAAATCTCGTATGCATTGTTTTCATTTACATTTATATAACGTTAATTTTTCTCCTGCCCAAAGTCAGTTCGGCCATCGCAAATAATGTACGTAGTTGTTGCCCGAACTGGATTCAGGCGACACAGGCAAGGGGTTAAAATTTAATTTCTTATTTAATCTTAAATATTGTTTTTCATTATAAAAATCTCTTATGCATTGTTTTCATTTACAGTTCATTATTTCTCCTTGTGACTATGTCTTCAAAGCAGCCCAGGAAAAAACGTCGGATTGATGATGACGTAGGGGAAGGTTGCGTGGTTCATTGTAACGCCAAAACACTCTTTGATTCAACGATGTATCACAGAAAGCTGGAGCCAAAGAAAAACCTGGGGAATGCTTCCTCTTCATTCGTCAAAGCTTCTGACCTTATTAAGACCTCTCTGAACAAAAATAGTCCAAGTACGTCGACATGCGCAACTGTGGACCTTGAAAGTTCAGATTCTGACTCGAATATGTTCGAAACCCTCACCCCCAAAAGGTTACGTAAATCAGATGCGACTGTAATTGCTAAAGACAAATTTCGTAGTGCTAGTAAAATACCTGTGCCGACGGGTGCCCGGCATTTGAGATCTAGAACCGTCTCTGGCTCAGGTAAAGCATCGAGGGGTAAAATTTCTAATTACTTCAAGCCTGTACCTGGTACTAAGTCAAAGAAAATTCTTGCAAAGTCTGTCAGAGATGTAAGAAGGGCGGTTGATGATAAAAAATTGGGAGAGAGCAGAAATGAGATGTTTTTTAAAAAGGTGCAGAATTGTTACGGTCTTTTTGGAGATCTGGAAGAGTGTGATGAGGATCAGCCTAATTACTTTGAGAGGCTGCCCGAGCACATTATCGAAACCATCTTGTGTCAAATCCCCATGCTCGATTTGTTGAACTGCCGTTGTGTGTCTAAGTTGTGGAATTCTGTCATTAATAATTCTAAGGTAATTGAAATGGTGCTAAAAGAATTTTAAAGTTCGTTTTAGTAACATTTACAATCTCTTTTTTTTTCTTTCTCCTTTATGACTGTATATGAGTAAGTTGGGTACTTTTCAATTAGCCAAGTGCAAAAAAATTCAACTATTTTTTTTCACATGTTTTTATTTTAATTTTTTTTTTTTTTTAATTTTATGTGTTTAAAATATTTGGCAGAGGTCTACGTATTGTAGCAACTTTTCGCTTGCTCCCGGCTAATCGAAAAGTACCGTAAGTTTTGATTAATGTGTATAATTCTTTTCTGCATTTATGTTGTAATTGAAGAATTCTAGTACTTTTAATGGTTATAACATAGCTGCTAACTCTACTAGATTTTGCCAGTTTCTCCTGGTCTACCAATAAAAATTCTCCTGGTTTTGTACTTTTTTAGAAAATTCTCTGAAACTGAGTAAGTTTCCTTAAAAAATACCTATTGAAGTAGAATTTTGTGCAGATTATTGCTTGCTTGAATATTTAAATAAGTGTCACTATTACATAATAAAGTGAGTCTCATGTATAAAATACAGTTTACTATCTTTGATGAATGAAATGTCTATTATTATTCAAAATTATGAATAAACATAATTTATAACATTTCAAGATCATTTAATGTGAAATCATAACTATAAAATATTGCAGTTTTTCTATTTTGTTAACTATAAAATTCCCTATGGTTTCCTGATCGTTTTTTCAGCAGAAATAAAGCGTGATTCGACTGTAATTAATCTGGGTTTTTTTTTTACCCACCTTTTCCATATGATTTTTCAAATTCCAATATGTTATTATGACATGCGCATTTTGAACTTGAGCTATCACTTTTTTGAAGCATTTGATTCAGGACGTAGTTGAAAGTCGTTTGATAATAATTTTTTCGGAAGCGAAGCTATTTTTCATTCTTTTCGCCCTTTTCACACGGTTTTTTAAATTCTATATTCTTAATACCATGTTATTATTTTGTTTGATATAAGTGGTATCACTAATAAATAATTGGTATCACTATTTGATATATTCGATTCTTGACGATTCTATCGTAATTTCACTGCATTTGATGATTGTGTTTTCAGAAGTTCTTTATAATTTTCTCGGACCTTTAATGTGGTTTTTTAAATTCTGGTATGTTTATTACGAAGTCATCACGGCATTCGAAATTCAAATGTGAATTGTCACTATTTGATGCGTTCGATTCATGATGATTCTATGATAATTTCTCGTCATTTTATGATAGATTTTTCGACAGTTATTAAACATTTTATTGACCCTTTTTACCCGGAAATAGAAATTTGATATTTTTAATACCGTGCTGTTACGATGTGCGAATTTGTGTTATCATTGTTTGATATGTTCGATTTATGGCGATTATATCGCAATTTCATGGCGTTTGATGATGGCTTTTACGGAAGTTATTGATCACTTTTTCGACCCTTTTACATGGTTTTCCAAATACCTATATGTTTAATACGATGTTTGAAATTCCAATTCATATTATCACTATTTAATGCATTTGAATTGTGATGATTTTATCACAATTCCTTTAAAATTTTTATAGGTTTTTCAGCAGTTATTTATAATTTTATCGACCTATTTCACATGATTTTTCAAGTTCCAATATTTTTGATACAATGTTATTACGGCGCTCGGTTCATGACGATTTCATTATAATTTACCGTTTTCGAGTGATATCAAGTAGTTCAGAAAGTGCGTGTCAATTCTATAATACTATATAATGTTTTGGCATGAACCTTCACTGAAACCTAATGGTTGTTTCGATAGCTATTTATAATTTTATCGGCCTTTTGCATATGGTTTTTATATTTTTATAAGATTTAATTCGATTTTTAAATTTTAGTTATCACTTTTTAAGGCCTTTGATTTGCTACAATTCCATCATGATTGACTTTTTTTCTGGCAAATTCTACTTGTTTTTTCTTATTCTGATAATTTTTATGTGATATTATTACGACAAGTGAGTTTTTCGATTTAAGGAGTCACCTTTTGACATGCCCAATTTACATTGATTCTACTATATGATTTAAAAGTAGGTTTGTGGCAGTTAATAAAATATTATGTTATTTTAACAGTTTTTTTTACAATTATGAATTGGTGTTTTAGCTTTGAAATACTACTGTTATTTTAATTTCATAAGAAATTCATTAAATGTATTTTATTTTCCATCTAATGATTTTTAGTTTTCAGACATTAAAAAATGATATATTAAGTAGTGTAGAAATTATACTATTATTGAAATTAGATTGTTGTTTCTAAATTATTTGAAAAGTTATTTTAATATTTCGTTTTGAAAGAGAGTTTCTTTCACTTGAGTTTAAAAAAACCTGTTTCTTTCAGTGTTTTTTTTTCCATTGTGAAAGAAACTTGCCATGTTTAGAAGGATTAACTTTTGGTACTTTCGCTAACAAATCTCTTTGTTAAAGAGCATTTAACAAGTATTTGTTGCAGCATTGGAAATCACCAAGAATTTTGCTTTAATCCAGTTTTTTTTTAAACAAAATATTAAAATTATGGGTACTAATTTGTTATATGCCTGCACCTGATCTTCTGCATTTTTTTCTTCTCTATAACCACATAAGGCACATTTATTTTGGTGCCTTTTTCGTCATATATCAAAAACGGAATCAATTCAATTAAAAAATCTATTCAATTAAATTCATTTCAATTAAAAAATCCAAAAAATTACTAGAATGACGTAAAGGGGAAAAAAATGAAAAATAGAATGCATAAAGAAAAGTAGGATAGTAAAGGTATGTTTTAGTAGTAATGATTAATTAATATACAAAAAATAAAAACACTTTTTTTAATTAATTTTAACACACTGGAGCTTTAAGTATAACATGTTGTTTATTAACATAATGTAAAATATTATAAATTGACAAAATTTGAAATGAATTTTAATTAATTTTTTTGTTTAAATGTTTTTCTACATAAAAAATTTGTAGTCCAAATTTGGCACATGCAAATACAAGTGCAAATTTGTACAGGCCAATACAAATTTGTTAACGCTGGTGACAAAAAAAATTAAAATTACACATTTATGTTTATTTAAAGAACATAATACAGAATTATATAAGCTTTTAAAATTTAAACAAAGATACTTTCATGAGATTTTTATATTCTGTTAAATTCAAATTAAAAGCATTATGTAAAATGGAAAATTGTTATTTTTTACCCAGTGAAGTAGTTTGATAAGTGAAGCTTGTCTACGTTTTTATAGAATGAATAAATAGTGGTGTCAAAGTTTATTAGCCCTCAGTTTATTTCAAAAATAAATAAGGATTCATACTACGTTTTATAAATGATATTGTGTTTATTGTAAGTAGTGGGTAAGATTTTTTCTATCTTATTTTTTAAAAAACTGGTGTGACTTTTTTATTAAAAAATTTCAGTTTAAACAATAATTAAAATCATATATTAAACTGTATTGGTCTAAATCAGTCAACCCTGATTTGCAGCAACAAATAATAAAAAAAATTTAAATTGAATTAAAAAAAGGTTTGTAATAATTTATTAATATTCAGGGGTCTGTCTAGATTTTTTTAAGAGGTACTTATTTTGTGAAAATTAAAACTTATATTAAAAAAATCAACACAAAAATACGGTAAATAAGAAAATATTTCCAAACATTTTCACTACAAATAAAAATCATTTATGACTGGTAAATTTCCATGTATATTTTTCCCATATGTTCAAAAACAATTTTGCTGTTGTAAAATTTTGGGCTTAAAATTGTATCCAAATTTAAATATCCATAAAATTGATTGTCCATAATTAAATTTCAACTTGAATTTAATAAGAACATAAGAATCTTAGAACTTGCTCTTTTAAAAGTATTTTGTAAAAGTACCCTTTTTCCTTAAGTTGAATTTGTGAAGGTACCGCTGAACGGTAGTAAATTTACCCTGGACAGATCCCTAATATTGCATTGTTTAATTGCAATAATTGAATAATATTTACAGTAATTGGTATTGCATAGGTAACCTGGCAAATTCCTTGTATTACCATTACTTTGATTTAATGGGGAAAATATTTATGACTTCACTAACATTCTTTTTATCTAATATGATTTCTATATTTTAGTTCATAGATTGGAAGAAGCTGTACTATAAAATAAAAATGAAAGATTCACGTGCATTACTCGTGATAAAACATAAAGCTCACAAATATGGACTGAAAAATGTTGAGGATGCATTCATAGTGTTTATCAAGTAAGAAACTTTATAGAGTACATTTTTTTAAGCAATTCAAAAATATTTACGTTATTTCATTACATTTGAAACAGATTGCTGATCAATATTCTGGTTCTGGTTGATTTACGGAATAATTAGTAATAGTCAGATTATAATATTTTGCACTAGATCCGGCCTGAAATTATATGCTGTAAAATAACATAAATGTAACAAAAAAATTTCATACTAAGCAATAAGTAAAAAAAAAGAAGAAAAAAACGATTTATTTGTTTATTTTTATTAAATATATTTTTCAGAAATTATATAAAGAATTGTATGTAAAGAAAACTGAATTACTAGTTCAGATTCTGGCTTATTTTAATAGCTGGTAAATTCTGATGCGAAAGGAGTGTTTTTAAGCATTCTATGTTGGAATTCGATTGTGCTTCTTTCCATCTAAAAAGACATATAGTTAACCCTACTTCCAAGATTAGGAGAAAGTGGGGTAAAACTTGTCTAACTAATTTTTTAACTTTCTAAGACAGAATTCGATTGTGTTTCTTTCCATCAGTTGACCCTACTTCCAAGTTTAGGAGAAGTTAGGCTGATGAAGGTGTTTATTAATCTATTTTTTAAAAGAAGATTACAGATTTTATATATATCTAATAGTAGCAGTTGTGAGAGCAGGACAAGCAGGCACAGGATTTTAAAAAGAGCAAAATTTTTTATTTTCTCATCGTTATGAGAGGATGAATATCCAAGTGACACGTCGTTGTGTGATATTTATTTATTTATTTTTTTAATATTTTTACAATTTTAAAAAAGTTATGTTTTTTGTCAACCCCCCCTGCTTTTTGGTAACTGTAGTATTTGTTAAAACCTTATCTTGTTCTGATTCATTTAATGTTTTTAAGAAATCTGTAGTTTTGTTTTTAAAAAATTGCACCCTGCATTTCCTATACTGAAAGAGACATATTTAATAAAATTGAATTATTTCATGTAGATATATGAGTGAAGGGTTTTTGCGAAAACCTTCAAGGGGCATGTATGATCTTTTAATCAAAAATGAGAAAGCAGTGATAGCTGAATTAGTGCTAGAAGAACGATTTCCTGATCTATGCAAAAAAGTAAGTTAAATAACATGAATATGAAATACTTGATTACAAAATATTAGTTTTATTCCTTGTACTTTGGTTCCCTGTGGCAGAATCGCAGCAACACGGTGACATTGTCGCAGAACGTTGCTGAGTTCTTGCAGAAAGATTTTTCTTTTGAAAAGTAAAAAATTTTAGTTTTGTTTTCTGCAGAAATTTATACATAATATTTGAACCATGCATTTAGATAATCACTTTTTGATCCGCTTAATTTACTCCGATAGTATCGAAAATCAATGTAATGTTTCGATGGTATTTTCGGCAGTTATTGATATTGATTTTCTCGTGGTTTTTAAATATCTCGATGTATTTTAAACAATATGGAAAATCCGAATCGTGCATTTGAGTATTTACTTTTGAAAGCAATGATTCTATCTATTTTTTGGCAACTATTGATTTCTCAATAGTTTTTAAATTCGATATTTTTTATACAGTATTACGATAATTTATTATGCATTTGAGTAACCCCTTTTTGAGAAGTCCAATTCGCGTAATTTCTTCGTTGATATTTTTTTACGATGACGAATTTCATGATTTTTAATTCTTTTTTGTCATGATTATTTACCAAATGCGAAGAAGGAAGTAATTTTTTTCGATACAATTATAAGTAATTATAAATAATTTTTCAAGTAATTATAAATAATAGTTTTAAAAAATCTTCTTTAGATTAAGATTTGTATATATATTTTCTACATCGCTAAATGTAAGTGCTTATAATATTTCCAATTTTGACTTTCTCTTTTTGTCTTGCATGATGATGCATAATGTATCAAAACTTTACTTGTAGCCTAAAAAATGTTGCTAGAAAATTTCTGTTATTTAATTTCTCCAATGGTGGCAGGTACGTGTTTTGTTAAACAGGAGCATTAGGTGGCTATATTTTAATATCTGGTGAGAGAGTAATAGCAGCAGGGAATGAAATACACCTAGTTCTTCTTTATTTTTCTAACTGAAATAATCTTATACTAAATAATATTTCCATCTTCATGATTCTTTTGAAATGTAATATATTTTCTCTTTTTTTTTCAGACACTAAAATTTTAGTTATTCCTGTTTTAACTTTACTTTAATTTTCTTTTTACTAATAACTATATTTTCAGGAATCTAAACCTTGGAGCATATTCGCTATGGCCATATTGTTGTCTGAAACTGTATGGGATATTTATGGCTTGTACAAAAGCCTTTTTCCGAAAAACTCAGATTGCAATTTACATGATGTTATAAATGCCCTCTACTGTGCTGCAGCTTTTCTCATACACTTCAGGAATACATTACATTTAAATTATGGGTAAAGCATTTTTTTTTTCCATCTAGTAATATTTGGAATTTTTGTAGTATTTAACAATGATAATAACAGTCAAATTCCGTTTTAGCAGAATCCGAAATAGCAAAAATTTCAATGTAGTGAGTATTTCCCGAATCCCCAAGTGAATCCCCATAGAAACAATGAGTTAAAAATACCGATATTATGAAATTCAGATTCACATTTAACAAAGATGAAACTAAGCAACAATTCTCATTTTTTCTCATGATCAAAACACTTTTCCATTCTTCAAAATTACTTAATGATCTCAGGATTCAAATATTTTTGCCTCTTCAAAATAAAAAGTTTCAGATGTGTCCAAAAAAAAACGAATCACTCGAAAGGGACCACCCTGAAAAGACTAAACCCCAACCCATTTATGAAGAAGTAATAATACACAAAGCTTTCCAAAAGAGTAGTTTCCAGTTCAGTTGTTTGAAAATGTGCATAATTTGGAATAGTTTGTTATTGCTACTGGCTGTTAAATCATTTATACAGAAAAAATTACAGCTATTACCTAATTTCTGATAGGTAAGTGATAATAAATCCATTGTTCCTTTTAATTTAATTCTTTTTGTGAGCTTTTAAAATATGATTTGTCAGGGTGCATAGCAATTTTAAAAAGTGCATAAAGGTGCTTATTTTTGATTTGAATTTTTTAAAGAACTTTAAAAATGTTTTTTTATTTTTTTATTCAGGGTTTGTAAAAAATGATTAATTTTCTATATTTTAAAGAGATTTTTTTTCTTTGCCGTGTCAATTTTGTCATTATAAATTTTTAAAAAATGCATGATTTTCGCAATTTTCTCTGCAATACTTTTCAGAAGCTAGTTATTTTATCATGATTATGTAAAGTTTTGAATTTTATTGATTTTATGTTTATAAATTAAGAACTTCAAACGACAAGAAAGAAATTTATTACTACACAGATCCTAATGATGATTTTTTTTTTTTTTTTTTGCAAAGTGATTAAAAATATTTTTGAGTGCTTGAAAAGTACTAAGAAATTGCTTATTTTTTGGTGAAAAACATGGCTGCGCACCCTGTTTGATATTTTTTACATGTAGAGTACAAATAGATCAAAACT